AAGAAACTGTGACAGAACTATATTACTTAATGTAATGATAGTACTACTACTAATAATCGCTTTTAAATAGCTTGTAAATGCCAGTGCGAATTAGCGGCAATTCGGCGTTAATTGCTTTAATGGGCAACAACAAAACACTACGACAAACTCACTTATATTAAACACACTTCAACAGGCATTTTAAAATCCAAAATATGCAAACAGGTGCTTTTGCATTTTGTTTCGAAACTAAATCTTCCGCTATCATCTTGTCTTTCTTACCTCACTCTTGTCAGTGTCTCCTCATGTGATAAATGAAATCTGGAATCCAGAAAAATTAAAACGGAAAAAATTTTATTTAATAATTTAATAAATAAAAGTGATTTCATAGGGCCTTAGTACAAGTGTGTTATTGCAAATGTGATTTTAATTTATTTGTATTTTTTTACAGACTCAACAGATTTAAAATAAAAGCTTCAGAACTATTTTGGGTCAGAACTGTTTTGGAGTTAGAACAGCATTATCCAGATGATGATAGAGTTTAAGCTGTATTTGACCTTTAATATTGCTGTAAAGATTGCATTGGAAAATAATATTGAGTTTAAACCTTTAATGCCTGACATATGAAATAATAGTAGGAAAAATCTATTGTTTTGATTATTGAACCCTTTAAAAAAATAAAGTTTGCATATGCGTTTTGTATAGTTTACATTTATATAGTATGATATAGTAAAATGTGGAGCTTGAACATGAAAAGTTTTAATCAAAGGCCCAAACTGAGCAAAATATGTAATATGGTGCAATTGCTGATATTTATGTGACCAAAAAGTAAGATGAAATTCTGATAGCCTTTAATGTAAATCAGTATAACAGACTTAAAAATTGCATAAAATGTATGTAAATATCAGCTGTCACTCAATATTTCCCAATAAAATGTCTTAGTAAGATGATTTTTGAATGCTTAGTTTTATGATCAAATCTCAGTCGTTTTTATTGTGGGGAACAAAACATGCAATGCAATACAGTGAGGATTGAGAGAAGAACACATAAATGTTCAGCAAAATTTTGATACTCATATTTTAACATGATTTTACTAAAAAAAAAATTAAAAAAGGTGGATTATCAAGTAAACTTATAATGTTTTTAGACTAAGACCTTTTACTTCCTAAACTATCAGACAACACAAGGCATGTATTAGTGTACAACAGGTTTTTCAGCAGTTTTGATAATTTAAAGGCCTTTGTGGGGTTAAAGGTGTGTCATTTCTGTGCCATAAATGGTGTCAAACAGAAATGCAAAAATAAATAAATATTACAATTGTTTTCGAACAGGTTTCCCAAATTCTTCCACCATCTGCCATTGGTCGATCAAACTGGCTCTCGGTGTTGGTTATCACAACATGTAAAAAGCCAAACATCAAATAATAACATCAGATTTAACCGTGTTAATAACTCAACATCATAGAGCAGCAGATGATGTGGCCAAATTGTGTTAGTCTGTGCATGTGTGTGTTTTTCTCTCTCTGGGCAAATCTGGCTCAGAGAACGTCAAACTCCTGTGAACCCATCAGGTGTTGAGTGTCAGACTGAATGAGTGATTGCACAAACAGATGGACTCGCTCGTGTCGTTTTGGGAGAACAAAGGAAATGGCCTTGAATCAGCCATTCTTCGCCTCCGCCCCATATATGACCAGCGTTTTGCTCCAGACGCATTTGAGAAAGCAGAAAGATCAATCTTGTCAATTAGAGATGGGCCTGTAAGCCCACTTCCTGTCAGACGCAGCATGCTGTTGCGCTCTGGAGCCGCGGTCCTCAAACGCAGGCCGAGTGCACACATATGAAAAGACCTGCTGTGTGAACCACCTGGCACAGGTGTCTGCCGGGAGATGGACTCTGACGCTGAGCGTTTCATCTCGGCTCCAGCGGTTTCATATTCTCTGCCTCGGTTTGGCTTATTGATCTGGAAGCAAGCAGGCGGGGGGGCTC